TATCGGCTGCAAAAATCCTGATCGGAGCATCCCTAATAGAAATCCTACATTGTTCTTTTTTAATATGAATTTTGCTTTTGGAATGGTTACTGTACTTAATAATTTACACAAAATTACACAAAATATCAACACTGACTTTGAAAACATGGTTGAAACCCAGACTGTTCATCCATGTTTTTGTTTCTGGTCACTAGCTTCTATGCTTTGATTAAAGTGCTGTTGAGCTAGTCTCAAAATGCCATGTATCTTGATTTACATCGGGTCTTCAGCTGTCAACCTTTCTCTGTTCATTGGAGAAAAGCCTGAAGTCTGAATCCTGATGATCTTTGTAATGTTTCCCCCAGTGCAGGATGTGAGACACCACCCATAGTGATGACAAACACGAGACAAAGCACAGCTGACATTCAGTTACTGCACAGAGGAAGCTATCGAGTCTTTACTCAGCCAAACAGCACGGCTAGGTTTCATGTCACAATACAGGTGTCTTTGTTCTCTCAGTGGACTCCGCTCACTGTTGCCTCTGCCGACATTGTATTTGTTTCCAGTGGTTTCTCTATGCGGCAAAATGTCAATTTGCTGGAAGCGTCTGAAACTTTTTATCCCTACAACATGTCCAATTGGAGCTTAACCTCAGAAAGAACAGTTCTAAAAAGAGACGGGCCACAATATTGCCCTACAACCATATAGTATAGTTTTAATTAATACATTTAAATAAATTTTTTTAATGATGATGATTATTATTTATTATATGCTATGATGAATTTAAGTATATCTGATGATTAAGTAATATTTGCAATATTATAATTATATTATAATTTATATATTTTTTATATATTATTAGGGGTGCAACGGTTCAACTTACTCACGGTTCGGTTTGTATCACGGTTTTTGAGTCACGGTTTCGGTGCGGTTCAGTATGTGCTACGTTTAGGGAAAAAACTCAGCCGACTATGTCTGCTAGGATACTCACCAAGACGGGCATTTTGACATAATTTTTGTGTGAATTTGTCCATTCAAACACAATACTTCACAGAGAGCTTAATATTTGCGCGCGTTCTGAGACGCGGGTTCTCAGAGCGCACACACAGATCTTCTCACTGCGCGCGCGAGTTCACGTCTTCTGGCTCTTTAATATTTAAACTGGCAAGGCTTAAATGAGTTTAGTTTAAACACACATAGCAGCGTGTGCTGTTCAGGTCTCCGGCCACAATATTGCCCTACAACCATATAGTATAGTTTTAATTAATACATTTAAATAAATTTTTTTAATGATGATGATTATTATTTATTATATGCTATGATGAATTTAAGTATATCTGATGATTAAGTAATATTTGCAATATTATAATTATATTATAATTTATATATTTTTTATATATTATTAGGGGTGCAACGGTTCAACTTACTCACGGTTCGGTTTGTATCACGGTTTTTGAGTCACGGTTTCGGTGCGGTTCAGTATGTGCTACGTTTAGGGAAAAAACTATATTGTCAAATAAAAATAAAGAAAATAAGAACAAATAATCTAACTACAAGCAACAGCACAAATAAATAAACAGCGAAAAAAGATTTTGTTAGGTACAGAAATTGAATAAATCAAATGTAAAATAACATTGCATATTTGACTGTATAAATTAAAGATTAATCCTTATTAAAGTTACAAAAGTTATTCAATCAAGAGCAGTGAGAGATTTCCCTGTTGTTGCTGTTTGATTAACATTAAGAAAGTGCTGTCACTTTAAGAGAACGCACTGATCCAGTGCACTGATACTGTACGTTCAGCCGACTATGTCTGCTAGGATACTCACCAAGACGGGCATTTTGACAATTTTTGTGTGAAGAATTTGTATCCATCAACAGAAACATGCATTAGCCGAACTCTAACAAACCATATTACAGATGCATTGTCAGATTTAAATTGAACCGCGGTCCTAGTGTATGCCGAACCGTGTGTGGAGAACCGTACGGTTCTATTTTTTACCGAGAACCGTTGCACCCCTATATGTTATATAATATTTCTTTAATAGCTGTTAGACAGTTTGCACAGTAAAACCTTTTTGAAAATGTATATCCTAGGTGTTTAATTACAATTAAATATTTGTTTAAATTTTTAACAGTATAATCTTTATATGTATATACACACACACACACACACATATATATATTTACATTTAGACATTTAGCAGATGCTTTTATCCAAAACGACTTACAAATGAGGACAATGATATAGGGGGAGGTATATATCATTATATATGATATAGTATAATTATATATTAATAATATATATATATATATATATTATTTTAAATGGACATATTATTAAATGTATTCATGTATAATTTATTTGTTTATTTATTTATTCATTAGCTGTCGGACAGTAAAACGGACAGATTAGCTGTTTGCACAGTAAACCCTTCTTGAAAAAGTCTGTTATTTTCCATTTATGCCCTATAATGCACCACCATATACCACACCACAGTCATACATATTTAGTAAGTTTTCTTCTTGCCATTGTATTGTCTCATGCGGTATTTTAAGCATCTCGTTCCAAGTGTTACGTTTTTTAATATGCTGTTTCAAGTTAAAAATAGTCCAGCTTTTTACAACTCTTGCAATCTGTTCATTTGTTGAGCTGTGTTTGTGTTTTTGAATTAGTTTGCTCTGTTTGTGACCGCAAGAATACATCTTACGTAAAAGCCCCTTAAGAAACACATCTGATTCTCTTATAGCCGATAAGCCAATTAGTTGTTCAGACAGCTCATCGACGACCAATTGATTTAGTTAATGTTTTTCCTAACAAGCTTTTTTTGATTATTTGAAGCTCAGATTTAAGAGCTATACGTTAAATAAGTCTGACAAACAAGACTGTCTGGAATGAGAGACTGTAGCCTAGTTATTTGTGCATGTACAGCAATGCATAAGGGGGCGGTGTGTAGTGGCAGAGCAGTGATTGACTCTTCATGATTTCTCCCTGTGGAGACAGACTGTTACATAATGAAACAAGCTGCTCCAGGCTGAATGCCGGCCTTATTTCCGACAACACAACTGCCTACACACTCCTCTCATCTGCTTAGCATGTACACCTCAAGCCTCTGGCTCTGGAGTTGCATGTACAAATGCACACGTTCAATCATGCTTGGGCATATTTTCAAAGTCGACTAGTTGGTGGGTTACCTGAACGACAAGTCAACTAATCGGTCATAAGGACCGGTTTTACATAAGATGTGTTAAAAACTGCTTCGTGGTGGGCAACAGAATGCAGGGGACTTTGCAAAAACAGTGTGAGACACTCTTTGGAAGACAATTGGATTCTGTTTTGCTGTATGTGATGTAGTGGGGCTGTATAAAATGGCTTTGAGTTCTTGCTGTTTTGCTTAAGTGCTTTATTGTTTCAGTCTGGTTAGGTAATGTAGCTGAGAGGTCCTTCACATCACTGGGCCAATAGAGGGTAAGCTGAACTCATTGTAGTGGAAAAAGCAGTCAGTGCCACATCCTTTGAGAAACAGTTAGGCTAAATATCTTTTGAAAGTACTGGCATCTTTCTGTGGGACGAACTGGAGTTTGTCCAGCTTTAGCTTTATTTGGAGTGTTATGGGCTGGGTATCGGCAGCTGCCTCATGATATGATACATACCACACATTTTTCTCTAGACCTGTTTTTAGAAAATACTTTTTTCTTTAAAAATTAATAATTGTCTCCATTTCGTTTTGTCTTTTTTCAGTGTTGTGCCTATTTTATTTTATTTTATGAAATAAAATGAATCCTGAAACAAAAATGAATTATGGTTTTCACGAAATATTAAGCAGCACAACCGTTTTCAACCGTGCTCAAGAAATATTTCTTCTCTAATAAGCATATTAAATGATTTCTGAAAGATCATGTGACACTGAAGACTAAAAAAATGGCTGCTGAAAATTCAGATTTGCCATCGCAGGAATAAATTACATTTTAAATAGTGCTGTCAAACGATTAATAGCATCCAAAAGGTTTTTGTTTACATAATATATGTGTGTGTGTTAGGGTTGTGACGGTGAGGAAATTTTCCCACTGGTTAATCGACGTGTGACAACACCGGTAATACCGGTATCACAGTGGGGGCGGGGGCGTTCCCTCTTTTCCTCGCTTTCCTTCGCTTTTAAATAGCTTGTAAAAGCGGCGTGCACATTTTACTTTCACTTTTGAATTAGCGGCAGTTCGGCGTCAATTGCTTGAAGGCAATTCATTTATCACAGCAAGTCTTCCAGGTCCTGAAGCAGCAAAACAGCCCCAGACCATCACACTACCGCCACCATATTTTACTGTTGGTATGATGTTCTTTTTCTGAAATGCAGTGTTGCTTTTACACCAGACGTAATGGGACACACACCTTCCAAAAAGTTCAACTTTTGTCTCGTCAGTCCACAGAGTATTTTCCCAAAAGTCTTGGGGATAATTTTAATAATCACTAATTTTAAAAATTATTAAAAGGGAAAACAGTTCTTTTGAAATTGTGAACTGTTTTTACTGCATTTTTGATCAAAAAATGCAGCCTTCGTGAGCGTAAGCAACTGTCAAAAACACTTAAAAAAAATATTACCAGCCCCCGAATTTTGAAAGGTAGTCTAAATAAAAATATTGATGCAATTCCCTGTGCAGTACCAATGCAATATCATAAGAACAATATCCATATATGATTGTGTCGGCAGTCTGTTAGTATGCGTCTGTCTGATAAAATAAAGTTGAAAGCACATCTGTTTAGCCTGGACTCGACATAAGTTTATTGATGTGCAGTTGAGTCTGTTTTATCTGCCGTTGTCTGTTTTTCCGTTTCACGCTGCGGTGGACTATGGGAGGGGGTCGTTTTCGGTTCTCTTCACCTCTTTCTCAACCCCCCCCCTCCCCGTTTCAGGATCAGGGTGGAGTGCCATTTCCTCCCTCTGTTTCCCAGGCCTCGCCCCCCCTCTGTTTTCCAAGGCAATCTGAATCTCTCCCTGCCATTAATGCACAGCCTTTCGTTCTTTAAACAACTCACTCCCGGCACTCTAAGTGACATATTTAGCTCCACGGCATTTCATTTGGAGCCCTGTCTTCTGGATCTGTTTCCTACTAGTTCACTTATCTCGCCGCTATTAGTAATGTCTGATCCATTAAGGTCTGATATCTTGACTCAGGCTGCTCACGCTCAAGTTTATTGCAGCTGAATGGTATCTGCGTAACACATTTGTCTGTTTTCTCACCGAACTCAGTGGATGTGCGTCATTTGCTGATTGTCTTTCCAAAGGCTGGGACCCTTCGCCGGCTGTGCTTTTAGGATCTGATCATGGATTTGTGGTCGACTGCTGGTGTTTCGTAGCTGTCTACGGGAGCAGCTCTTTTCAGGTGTTTCCCTTTGTGAGACATTCTGGCTTTTACACTTCTTATGTACTCAAGAAACTGGAAGTCCTCACACTTTTGGAGTTGTGACACTCCCTGTTCCTCAGACTCTGTCTTCCATCTGAACTATTGGATATATGGTTGGTTTTAGATCTTATTGTGCTCTAGGACTATTGCTTTTCCATTCGTACTCCTGCTTCAGCATTTTCACTTACGTTCTTCTTGATTTGGAGACGCCAAACAGGAAAGGGAAAGCGTAGACGCTTGTATGGCTTGCTGCTTTCAAACAAGTTGCCATGGCAGCTGGAGTCCAGGTAGGCTGATGCATCCACACACTAAAATGTAGTAATGGGGGACACCGTATTAGTGTTTAAATAAGGAGCAATTTGGACCTGCTTGTTGAGCTTTATGAGTCTTTATGTTGTCTGTTTTGCCTTCTCTTCTCTGAGTTTTTCACTCTGTTGATTTGTGGGTTGCAGGTGTTGGTTGCTTATATTTACTTACTTTACACAAAGCATAGGTCTCACAGGGCATCCTGTGTTTACTGGGCTTTGTTAAAGGGTCATGAAACCCCAGACTACTTTTTCTGAGATTTTAGAAGAGGTGTTTGTGTTGCACATCATAGAAGACAATGTTAGCATCCGATATTTTTAACTGTTGGAGAAAACTGGTTAATTTTAAGCTTTTTTGCGCCGTTTTCATCTTCCGGTAAATCTACATCGTGTTGACGTCAATTTTTGACGTATATTTGTGACGTGGTAATGGACTGTAGTACATCGATGACGCGTTGGTGTCTATTAAATTATTCATGAGACTGCGTGTTCTTATCCTATGAAAAGACTTCATTTCTATGAGAAGACTTCGCTTAATTATTCACAACAGCATGTGTTGATTTGCTATGACAGACGCTTCAGACTGTGGAGATTACGTAGCGCACGTTAACTGAGAGAAACGTTCATGGATCGAAGAAGAGTGTTTGTTTTTGCTTTGTAATAAGAGTTCGGCACAAACGCGATTCATTCACTCGGTGAGCATAACCGTTTTTACAGTTCTGTGACATCCCGTCAAAAGGCTTATATAAACGCCACAGAATAAGCCTTAAAAGTTCTCAGAGGTGCAACAGCGCGTTCATATATATGTTTTCGATGCAGAGTGCAAATGGCTGTGCATTTATTTGTGTTTTTAACTCGATGGGAGCGAAATGAAACTGTCTGAAACGCGAAGCTGTGCATGTTGTCTGTCTCCCCTCTTCCCCCTCCTCCGCTCCTCTGCGCACCACGCCCACTTTTTTAGCATTTTTTTAAAACTCTGGTGAGAAGTGCTGAAACGGGGGGTTTCATGACCCTTTAAAATGCCTTCCATTTTTAATGTAAGTGAGAAGCATTAAGTAATATAAAGGTAGCCCTTTACAAATAAAGGTTACTAAATTTGACATTCTGCAGATTAGGGATGGATCATGATGGTTATAGGCATCTAACAACTACCTACTGAATTTGTTAAAGTGACCGGATCTAATTTTTGGGTTTAATTGTTCTTTTTTTCCTTTTAGTTTTTTTAACCTGTGGTTATTTAACATGCCATGTTTTATAGAATAAATTAGTACTGAATGAAAAACAGCCAACAGGGTTCCCACGGTTTTGTAAAACCTGAAAATATCAGGAAATTGTGATTTTTATGTCTGAAAAAGTCATGGAAAATAGTAATATTTTAATTAATATTATCAATTGTGAAAGTTCATGAACATTTCCGTAGTAAATAATATATAATTGTAATATACTCTAAAAATAATATTCTCTCCATCTCACCAAGGCTGCATTTATTTAATCAAGATTACATATAAATATAGTAAAGTGAAAATACAGTAATATTGTCTTCTTCTCCTCCTCCTCCTCTTCTCCTTTTCCTTTTCCTCCTCCTCATTCTTCTTCTCCTTTATTATCGTTCAGAAATTATTCTAATATGCTGATTGTGTTAATATTTGTTGGCTCTGAAACGCCTCTGATTGGCCATTGCATTTAAGAAATCAACAGGTATGTCTGTGATTGGCTACAATGTTCAACGCTGCAAAAACATGTAAATAGAAACCTTTGTTGCTCAGAGCGCAAACACAGAGAAAGGATACACATTGGAGTCTACGGTGAGGCAGCTGCCACTTACTTTCATTTTGTTTTTTTATGTTTTTGTTATTAAAGTTACATTTGCCGTTTCCCACTTCCTCCTTCCCTGAGTCTTGAACTTTGTTAAATACATATATACATTTTCCTTAAATGTTTCCTTTCCTTCATCCTGGCGACCCATTTTTTAAGTTTCGAGGGTCGCGACCCAGGGTTTGAAAACCACTGATCCTAATGCATCATTATTCTGAGTAAAAGTATGGATTTATTGAAAATGTATTTAAAATTCACTTCAAAATATTTCAAAACAGACAATGTTTTATAACTGTCACAGCTAAACAGGAACTTTTATAGGCCGATGTTCTCCAAATGGCAAAATATTGGACTTTTAAATGCCAGTCCTGTAGCTCACTGTACTTATGGGATGCACAGCTTCTTCATCGGTGTATAAAAGAGTACAATGAGGCCCAGCTCCATCAACTGGAAAGTTCAAAGCCACGTTCAGCACCCACTTGAATGGGCCAAAGATGTGAGATTGTGAGTCTCTTTGCAGTGCTGGACCCGATAGGAATGTGAGTGTGTATGTGTGGGGAAGCAGTGGCCTCTGGCCAGCTCACCATGCTGAGATGTGATTGGGATCCGCTCGTCTTTTCACGAGAGCCGCCAGAAAACACTCTGCGTTGGGGTCTAAATCAATAGTGCCTGTAAGGAGGCTCAGCAGTTTAGTATGTTTTGATATTGAGGTTGGAGAAGGGTTGTGGTATCAAGTATTTTGTGCATGAGTGTGTGTTTGGATCCAAGCCAGTGCACAGGACACAGCTGCATAAGGGGGACAGTGTTTGTCATGTTTGTTTGATGGCACAATATTATAATTCATCCTGATGTGGCACGCTATATATACTATGCTTACGTAAACACTCTGCGCAACACAAAGTTTGAGTTACGTAAACCATTAGGGTTGGGCGATGTCTACCAAATTGGCATCGGGACGATGTCTACAGTGAAACATCTTGATGGACGATGACATCGGGGGGGTGCCCAAAGCGTGAAACAAATAACGCGTTATACGGAGCCACTAAAAGGTTAGCCGCTTGCTAGCGGTAGCCTGTTGCATTACAGTACATGACAGTTCACTTACCACATACACAGAATGATTTGCAGATCCTGAGCACCAATGACAAACATCTAATCTTGTCAAATGTGTGGTAAGTACTGCTGCTCGCGAATCTCAATTGAAATATTTTTTTTTATCCTCCCATCTCGTAGGCTATTTATTCCCTTTAGGGTTTCCGTAGTACACTTCATTTCCTTTCCGAACACGGAACTGGGATGCGGTGGATTGCGGGAGGGGGGGGATCACGATGTCAGCTTAACATCGTGATGTCTGTCAGCCATCGGCGATGGACGATGGCATCGTCTATCGGCCCAACCCTATAAACCATATTACCCAAGGCCTAATTTTCTGTCTCTTCACCAGATGATGAAGGTGACCTCCAGCACAGCAGCACAGGGAGCGAAGCGGGCACGGCAGGGGACGGCACCCCTCCTCCCAAGCGCAAGGGCAAGTTCTCTACCCTGGGTAAGATCTTCAGACCCTGGAAGTGGAGGAAGAAGAAAAGCAGCGAGAAGTTTAAGGAAACTTCAGAAGGTCCTTTGTTCTTTTCTTTTCATGTTTGTGTTGGAAAATAGCTTTCCATTCCTTGACATTTTTCCTTAAATCACACCCTAATGTTTGTTAAAGTTTTCTTTCCTTTGCTGATATGAATGTTTTCTCAGATGTTTTAAAGAGCAGGTCCTATGGTATTTTAAAGTGTCCTAATGTTGTGTTGGAGTCCCCTACAACAGGTTTAAATGCATCTAAGGTCAGAAAACATTGTAATTTTCTCAAAATATACATTTAATATTAGAGTCATTTGCCAGTTATTTCGAAACGATTCGTTCCAAGCAGGTTCGGAGCAAACCCCTCCCTTCCATAAGCCTTCTCTGCTCTGATTGGTCAGCTGGCCAAGCCTGCTGTGATTGGCACAGAGAGGAGTCCTTGAGCAAGTTAGCGAGCAAGTTACATAAAACAATAATACAGTGCTCCAATCCGTTTTTATAATAATGACATAAAATACAAAAACACTTATGCAAGCGAAGCGAATTGTGCCCACAGCTAAAGTTTAGCTGCTAAACTGTGAACACTTAAAACAATAATGGCGGATACGTTAGCCGAGTGCTAACGTGACTAACTGATAAAACAATACAGTTTGTAAACCAAAATATGTCTACTGTAATGTTTGAAGAACGACAGACAAAAGACGCTCTGTCTTAACTTTTAATCAGAACGCAGAACAGCTGTATCACAGGCGCAGCAACCTAACTAACTCCAGCATTAACCCTATAACTGCCGTGCAGCAAAATAAACAGCAATTTCACAATGATTATAAAGTCTGTGCTACACTACATTCTTTATTATTAAACGATGTAATTAGAACACCGTCAGTCTACATTAATCGACACATTCCTAGGAAATAGTGGGTTCACAGCGAATGATGTATTTCGCGGGCAGGCGGGGATTATGCAAATGTGTTACCCAGTGACGTATACCGGTAACAGGCAAAAGATTCGAAAATATGACGACTCGTTAAGGCGATTCAGAATCGACTCTCTCTTTTGAGAGACAATATCTTTATTTATCGTGCACTTTTTTTGATAAACAACTTTGCAGATTGTTTTCATTTAAGGATAGCTACATTATAAACGGCAAAATAGATATTTTTCAAAAACCCATATGAACTGCGCTTTAAACACTGAGATGATTTCAGAATCACTTTACCCAGTAGTCGCAACTGGTTTTACTTGACTCGATATCTGAAATCAAATGCCGACCTAACGTAGTATGTTGTATAAAAATGTTTAACATACAAAAGTAAACACAATTGTCCTAATATTGGTTTATTATTGATATCTAAATGTGTTTTAAATGTCTATTAATTCCAATGATATTATTCAGATTCAGAATTAGCCTGAATCCATGAACACTGAATGTATTCATTAGGTCGACCGATTGTGGATTTTATCGATACCGATAGCAAGGTTGGACCACACTGGCTGATACCGATTAATCAACCGATAGTTTTTAAAATGGATACTAAAGTAAAACAGTGCTTTACTATTTTTAAAAAAGCAGTAGCAGTACTGAACCATACTTTGTAAATTAATAAACATATTAACATTAATTATTCTATTGATCATTAAAGTTATTTCATAGTTTACTAATGTTAAAAGAAAAAAACTTTAACATTTAAAAATGTAGCCTATTAGTAATAGTAAAAGTTTAAATGAACACTAAATAATTTTTCACGTAGGGCCAGGTAGGTTTGGACAGCTTTTTTCCCTTAATAAATGAAATTATCATTTAAAAACTGCGTTTTGTATTTACTTGCATTATCTTTGCGTAATATTAAAATTGGTTTGATGATCTGAATCTTTTAAGTGTGACAAATATGCAAAAAATTTAAAAAAACAGGAAGGGGGCAAAAACCTTTTCACGGCACTGTAATTTCAACAGTAATGCTTAAAGATGGCCATCTTTAAATATCTACACAAGGCCATTGCATTAAAATTACATACATAGGTTATTGATATTGTATGTGTACTTTCACACTTTATTTGCTTCTATTTTAGAACACTGCATGATTATCTAATCAAAATGTTAAAAAAATATGTAAGTCACACACTGGGCAAAAGCACAGCGCTGCCTCACAGGTATCAACGAATGCATCACATTCAATTCAAGCGGCGGTCTAAAACTATTTAATCACCAAACGGATATAAGTTTGCTTCAAGAATGAACAATGTGGCATAAATGTGGCTCTCGTACTGTATAATGGCAGCGAACCCTTCTCAGCCACTCCAGCAATGGACGCAACATGGAAAACTATCGGCATGGATTTTTGCCGAAAACCGATAGTTCCACCAATCAACTATTGGTGCCGATTAATCAGCAAATACGATGAATCGGTCGACCTCTAGTATTCATTATCTAAGAGCTTTCAGACAGGGGTATGTCTAGAGGGGTGACACCGGCCCCCCTCAAAATATGAGGGGTGGCACCGATATTTTTATTGCATTTGTACATTTTTTAAATATTGGCTCTAATTCAGTGTCATTTAAGGTTATACATCTAAAACTGGTTTATATATTGCCAGTATCAAACTCTAGACAACGATTTAATATTTACCATCGATATCATCATCGTGAACATTGAAATACAGGTACTCTAAGCCTCGGCCCTTCATGTACTCTTCTACACCTTGTAGTTTGGCCACCAAGGTGGTCTTACCAGACCCCACCTCACCTGTAAAACAAGTCAGATTAACACACTGACAAATAATAAAAAAAAAACTAAGAGATTTAGATGCATTTGAATCCTGAAACATATATATATATATATATATATAATGCATATTATATATATATATATATATATATAATATGAAATACGTTAATGTATGTTGAAAAGCTCCTTGGAGCTTGTGTTTATAGTTGTGTTGCCACGATGCACCAGCACCACTTAAAATAGAAATCGTTAGGTTACATTTCTTCCTGTTGTTAGATTAAAGGATATATATATATATAATATGAAATACGTTAATGTATGTTGAAAAGCTCCTTGGAGCTTGTGTTTATAGTTGTGTTGCCACGATGCACCAGCACCACTTAAAATAGAAATCGTTAGGTTACATTTCTTCCTGTTGTTTCAAAGATTAAAGGCACAATCACTTTCCCAAATAGTCTGAAGTAATGTGGTAAACGCTAAAATGTGGGGTTTTAATAATGTTAGCGTTCTGACACTGGGAATTTTAAGATGTAGAATAGTAAACCCCTGTTTGTATTGAATAAACAAACGTTTTTGTGTGGTAATCTTATATTTTTTATTTTCGTTTTGCAATGTCCAAGAACAGCTTCACATTTAAATGATTTTGTCTTTAATCAGTATATATATATATATATATATATAATATGAAATACGTTAATGTATGTTGAAAAGCTCCTTGGAGCTTGTGTTTATAGTTGTGTTGCCACGATGCACCAGCACCACTTAAAATAGAAATCGTTAGGTTACATTTCTTCCTGTTGTTTCAAAGATTAAAGGCACAATCACTTTCCCAAATAGTCTACAGTAACGTGGTAAACGCTAAAATGTGGGGTTTTAATAATGTTAGCGTTCTGACACTGGGAATTTTAAGATGTAGAATAGTAAACCCCTGTTTGTATTGAATAAACAAACGTTTTTGTGTGGTAATCTTATATTTTTTATTTTCGTTTTGCAATGTCCAAGAACAGCTTCACATTTAAATGATTTTGTCTTTAATCAGATGAGAATATGGCTATTAAATATACTAAAAATATACTATTTGTGTAATATTGATGATTAAGTTAGAGTTTTTTTAGACAGAATTTTGTGGGAAAAAAGGAAAAGGGGACAAAGTCAGGCACAGCAGCATTACATTCCTTCAAGAAGAAACCATGTCAAAGACAGGTAGATACAGTGCAGTGCCAGTGTTGCCAATTTAGCAATTTTGTAGCTAGATTTAGCGACTTCCCCACCCCTTTTGAGACTTTTTTCAAAAGTTTAGGGACAAATGTAGCTACTTTTTGGACAAATCTTTTCTAAGTTCTCATCTTGCCCACTGATCTATATTCATCTTTATATAGATCAGTGAATTTGCCATTATGATGTCATCTAGTGACATTTAGCTACCAGTTTTAGCTACTTTCAATTTAAAGCAGTTGGCAGCTCTGTGCAGTGCAGGCCAGAGCCAATCCACCAGGCAGGGCCAAGTTGGCCAGCAAATTAGCAGCCCTGAACCACAGGTCAGAGCCAGCCAGTGAGAGGACTACACCAGCAGCCATCTATCTGCAGCAACAAGGTGAAAGTTAGAACATAAACAATTTTTACAAAAAAGTTCACAAGACACACACACACAGTCTGTTTGGACAATAAAAGAAGTTGAGAACAATTATTGTCTGTTCAGTGGTTTTTATTTATAAAAAGAGAGATGAGTTGTCCAGGCACTTGTGCAGTGCCATTTTTATGTCATCCCACTTGTGTTGGGGCACATGACTTTTCCCATGGGCCCCCCCTGACTGGTTCTTGGTGAGAAACTCTAGGCGATTCTAGGATGTTTTTTAATGGGGTGGCACAGGGGGGCTGTGCCACCCCATTAAAAAACATCCTAGAATCGCCCCTGCTTTCAGAACCATAAAGGTGTAGATGAACATGTGCCATTGTGAGTTTCTCATTTATATATAGTATTTTTGTTCTCCCCACAGTTTTGGAAAGAAAGATGTCGATGAGGAGGCCAAGACAGGAACTGATCGAGCAGGGAGTGCTCAAGGAGCTTCCTGACAATGGTAGGAGAGAGAAGTGTGTGTGTGTGTGTGCACCTCAGGCTTTCTTAACCATATTTTGTACCATGCAGTTTGTACCCTGAAGCGAAACCTGGCAAAACCTCTGTTTGGGGATGTCTTCATTTTCTAAAAATGGTATAAAAACAAAGTAAATAAAGTGTTGTTGTTGTTTTTTAAATTATACAAAATGCAGAAAGTTTTCTATTAGGGTTAGGGTTGGGTTACAGCATTTATAACTAGCTTTAAATAAAAACTGTTTGTGTGTGTGTGCGTACATGCCAAGAACATGGATGTTTATTCAACTATGGACACTTGTGTCCCAGAGGTTGATTTTGAGAGATTGATTTTTTTTTATTAATTAACCATTTTAGTTAACTTTAATAATTAACAAATTTGCCAATTTTAAAGTGCTTTTTATGTATAGATGTTTGTTTGTTTTCTCCACACCCAGAACCTTCAAAAAATATATCATAATGCATCACAAAATATTATTGCAACTATTTAAAACTATTATTATCTAAACAAAGAGTGAAATAATCATAAACCAATTCAATATTTATTGAATTATGTACATTTTTACACATGCCTGTCCATCAGTTGTCATGTTGTTTCCAACAAAGCCAATAATGTTGCTCATAATATTTTTGTCTTTTATTTACATTCAAACTGTAATTTTTGGTCAAACCATGCAATTACATATTATATAAAATATTTTTATTATTATCTACTTATGTCTGTTTTGGGTACATGAAATGCTGGCGACTGTAAAAAATTAGGAGTTTGCCATTTTGTTCCTAAAATGTTATTTACACCATGGAATATTGTCAAATAGAATGCATAATTTGAAAAAGATAGAAAAGACATTTGTTGGTTCAGGAAAAATTATAAAATGACAATATTCTCCTGTGAGAAATGTACCTGTTGAAACTAAAATGTAACCGACTAACTGTTGGACACTGTTAGATATTAAAGTAAATTAGTGATATATGAACACTGTGTTTTAAGAGAGTCTTTTTCTAAAGGTCCATAGGACCAAAAGCATCCATGGTTGATGAAACACCCAAATATGTGAGTGTGTCAGGCAGGGGGTTTGCTCCTTTAATTTCTGAGTGCTCTCACTGTATTTCTTACATTCCTGTCATTGTGGTCTTTGAGGATACTGGACATACCAACAGAAACAAACTCGTGGCCTCAAAAGGAAAATAAACATGAATGATTTCCCCCTCGTTTACAGATGTGCGACATACATTACTGCTGAATCACAGTTCTGTGCCTCAGAGTTCTTTTGATACATGTGCTATACATTAATTTCAGCGCATCGTCTCTCTTCACAGTAGAGAAAGACAGACAGCTCAGTGAGGTTGTATATCATCTCAGCCCTGTTAATGTGGTAGCAGTCAGGGGAGCTGAGACGAATTCTGCAGTTTTCGAGGCAGATGAAGAGTGGAAATTTCAATTTGATACCTATTTTTGACTCTTCATATTTTGGGAAGGAAATGACATGCAGTTTTTCTTAAGACAAGAAAGTGGAGCAAATTGTGCCCTGCAGCAAAAAGCTTTGAAAGTCATGCGCTGTGAACCGGTTGCTTTGGAGGCCTATTTATTTGAGAGCTGCTCGTAACCTCTGAGAGATGTGTGAGGAGACACAACCTGTACTTCAGAGCTAATCAGAGCTACAGGCTCATGTCGAGCTTCAGAAGCAAACCACGTTAGTCTCTAACCCGATTTGAAAGGATTTTGCAAACCTGTTCTCTGTTAGAAATAAAAATGCAAATCCTTTTGAATTTTTGCAAGGCTGTTGCTTCCAGAGAAACAAATATTTGTTCAATGAATACGTGAAGCGTGTCGTTTCCGTCGGTGCACTTCCTGTGTTCTTTTGTAAATATTCACAGTGCATTACAAATGCCTTTTAATACCTCTGGAAAACTGTTACTACATAATAAAAATATTAATGATGCATATTTTCAGTAAGGTAATGAAAACTCAAAACTTGTATGACATTATTTCTACCATATAACACAAAAGGAGATGTTAAGCAATATGTTCATGCTGCTCTTTTCTTTACAATGAAAGTGAATAGTGACCTGTGGCTGTAAAACTCCAAAAAGCATAATAACCGAGGTTCATATGGATTTTGCACTATATTCCAATTATTGTGAAGTCATAAATTACAGCAACGTTTGTTGTTTTGCATTGAAAACTTTCCCTTTAGGTCTTAAATCTCATTTGTGCTGTTTGAATATTCACATTTTGATATTTGGCATAATGAAATTGGTCCTGAGACATACAATCCAATGATATTTGGCATTATAGATGTCATACCTGTTGTGATACATCTTGACACACCATAAGTGATATGAATGAGATTTCAGACACATAGCAGAGGAGAAAATAAAAATAGTATTTTCCTTTTTTTTTATGACGCAAAGATAATGTGTGTTTTCAGAAAACATTAAATAGTTTAGTGCAAAAGTCATGTGGGCTTCTTTAATAGTGCTTTTTGTATTTTTTTTCTTGATATATAATTTTTTCCCCCTTTGTTTTCAGAATCAGGTGAGGCTCATGGCCACAAGACACCTTATGTGAAGAACGGTCACACTCTGCCTGTAGGAGTTGGTGGAGGTCTGGGGCTAGAGCAGATACACTCGCCCTCTGAATCTGAATTTAGAGTCAACCCTGTCTGGCTGCCGCAGCCCGATGACCGCAGAGGTCGTGCCCCTTCTGACGGGGATCATCGTGGAGCATTGGGCCCCCGGGCCTCCAATCAGGATGAAGGCAGGAGAAGTGGTTGGTCTGTTGGGACAGAGGACTGGAAATCTAATCTGGCCTGGCAAGGAGATGATATCCGACATGGAAGACTGCATGCTGAAGTGGACAAGAGGCCTGGGCTAATGAAAGCCCCCTCTGAGGATGGACGCAGGACTCGCCCCGAATCGGACTGGAAGCCAACGCTTCCTCGCCACTCATCTGTCGAAGAGGGAAGGGGAAGAAGAGGTTTGTATGATCAATTCTTATAATTTTTCTCTAGTTCCCTTTCTACCTTCCTCTTCTTTGTTCTCCACACTTCCACCATCACTTCCTCACCTTCTGTTGGGCCAACTGGATTGAGACAAGTGTCTGTGTTCCCATGGGTTCTGCTCCAGCTAAGGTTCTTATTTAGGAACTGAGCTCAGCTAAGCTGAATTCTCCCGTTCTTTCATAATTAATAAACCACAGTCACCTCAATCCTCATCAAAGTGAACATTATCATTTAGTCCTTTGGAGACAGATTTGTCCCTCCACTAGGAGTGATGATACAGGTTTAATTTAAATTATTCAATCACTATTAAAATGTTGCTTCATGTTTAGAGCAATGTAGTTTATATAATAAATGTTTTTAGCTTAATATTTAATTTTGACACTCTGAAATTAAATTAAGTTGTCACTTTAAAAAAAATCTTTTTTTTTTACATTTTCAATCATCATTTTAACCAGCCATTTTAGCACTTAAAACTGTTTAATATAATGAGACAAATACAGTAAAAATATACAGGGGGGGGTGCCCGAAGCGTGAATCCGTGTTTAGAAAGGCACGAAAAACAAATAACGATTGCTAGCGGTAGCCTGTTACATTACAGTACATAAAATTTCACTTACCACATAAACAGATTAAGGAGAGATGACTGAGGACGATGGCAAATGATTTGCAGATCCTGAGCACCACTGACAAACATCTAATCTTGTAAAATGTGTGGTAAGTATTGCCGCGCCATAGTATAAACAAAGTGCGTTCGATCGCGAATCTCGAAAGTGAAAGTGAAACTAAAACGTTATTGTGCACTCAAAAGCAGTTTCAATGCCAGGCATAATAGCGGCTCCCCGATGCCTGCAATATACATATACAGTATAATTACCCAATGATAAAACTGAGAGAGAAAGTATTGAAATATATATTCCCTTTAGGGGTTCCGTATGCATGTCATTTTCTTTCCGAATACGGTATTGGGATGCGGCGGATTGCAAGGGGTCGAGGGGGGTTATCACGATGCCGGCTCAACATCGTGATGTCTATCAGCCATCGGCGATGGATGATGGCATTGTCTATCGGCCCAACCCTAGTTTATATGTTTATTATGGTATTTATTCATATTTTGAATTAGGCTTTATTTTTATATTTTTTATTTTCTTTTATTTTTTGTTTTAAATTGTAGTAATTTTCTAATGTTCTTTTAGCATTTTTATTAGATTTTTTTGTAGTTTTTAAATGTTTTTAATATTTATATTTGATTTTATTCCAACTTTATTTCAATAAACTACAACATAAGTAAATATTTAATAAAAATATAATTAAGAAGGAAGTAAACTGTAACCAACAGGGCACTCAGAATTCTGGGAAGTTTGTGTGCATTGGGAATCATATTTTTTCAAATAAAGCCACGGTAACACTCATTTTACATACAGCACACAGTTAAAATGACATGAATATGACAGTGGGCAAATGCATAAAGCACAGCATAATTTGAAATCACAAATTTAATGTTTAAAGCATTCTATTTGCATGGACCGAAAGTCACGCAGAGAACACGCAAACATGCAGGTCACATGCACACTTCACAAGATCTCACAACTGGATTCGACTAGGTTTGCAAGGTTTGTGAAATTACATTTTCATTAGCCATTCAAAGATTTGTTTAAATGATGTAAATGCGTATTTGCTGAATGCTGACGGCAAACGAGAAAGTGTTATAATGTTTGCCTTTCTATTACTAATAATATAAAAGCAATCGTTATAATACTTTTTGTATACATTTTAATTCCTTTGTTTAACAGTTCTATCGGATTGTTAGACAGAACTGTTAACGACGACCGCGAACAAGTGGGAGATTGTGAGCACTGTATGCTCAGGCGCTGCCGCTCTCTGCGCCGTCAAAATAAAAGTCCCGACTCGAATGCATCGGCCAAACAGAAAAACTTATCAGCCGATGCCGATTTTTGAAAAATGCCATATATCAGCCGATATATCGGCTTTGGCGATATATCGGTCGACCACTAGATATAACATGACCCCTTATAAAAGTCAGTGAAATTACTAGACACAATCAATTTGCTTCCTGGGTATGGATAGTTATGACATGTCTCTACAAAAATACTGTGCTGCAAATCACCACAGATGACTCATCTTTAAGTATTTAAATTTATGTATTTTTATTACTACTTATATGATATAATATAATACTTCGATTTATGATGTTTATGTATTTATGACAGTATTTATATTCTAAAATATTTTAGTGTATAAAAGATAGTAGATAAATATACTTGTAAAAATCCCTTTTCTAAACAGAAACAACTGATCAGCAGTGGAAACATTTGGTTGGTATTTTACATAGAGTTGAAAGTGCTGTGCAATTGTTTTAGGCAAACTTATAGTGCAAAGGAGGAAATGAAAAAAATGCTCACTGAGGGAAGGGAAGTCAAAACATCTTAGAATTAAAATGGGAATTTCAGTAATCTTCAGATACTTTCATACTTCAATTTCACAGTTGTTAGATACTGTGACAACTTAAATATATAGCAAGGAAATCCTTTAATACATAAAGATTTCAGTATTAATCATTTCTGTCTGGGTTTGTAACTGTGTATTAGTGAAGTTTGAAAGATTTTATAATATTCTAACTATTCAAAGCAAACCTACTGCTCTTGCTCACAGGCACACACTACAGCATCTCATACAGATACACTGCTGCTTATATGTTTGTTAGAGCATTTTTAACAAGAATTCTATGACTATTTTTAATTTAATATATTTTCTAAGCATTTAGACATTGTGACATGCAGTGCTGCCAAAAAAGAAAAGTGAATTGTTGTGTTAATTGCATTAAAAGCATGTACATGTGTGCCATGTCATACATCATAAGATCTTAGCCATGTATTTAATACACTTCTGATGTTCTCTGCTTGCTGAGCCAATTTTTTTTCTTTTGGGGCCCTGACCCTTAAGCTGATCACCTTAATAATAGTCTTTGATTGCGAGAAACTGAGTTATTACTAAAAACAATGTTTTCATTTATGCTTGGATTATCTTGGATTTGTCGTTTGTCCCTGGTTATTGTGGAAAAACAATAGGCATGCTTGTTCCAATTTAATGGGAACTCTTTCTTATTTGGGAGAATTTGTCCATTAAATGTGTTTGTTAAATCATGTGAGAAGTTCTCCTCACAACCGCATGCAAAATTTAATCTCGCTTATACCAGATACACTGCTGCTTATATGTTTGTTAGAGCATTTTTAACAAGAATTCTATGACTATTTTTAATTTAATATATTTTCTAAGCATTTAGACATTGTGACATGCAGTGCTGCCAAAAAAGAAAAGTGAATTGTTGTGTTAATTGCATTAAAAGCATGTACATGTGTGCCATGTCATACATCATAAGATCTTAGCCATGTATTTAATACACTTCTGATGTTCTCTGCTTGCTGAGCCAATTTTTTTTCTTTTGGGGCCCTGACCCTTAAGCTGATCACCTTAATAATAGTCTTTGATTGCGAGAAACTGAGTTATTACTAAAAACAATGTTTTCATTTATGCTTGGATTATCTTGGATTTGTCGTTTGTCCCTGGTTATTGTGGAAAAACAATAGGCATGCTTGTTCCAATTTAATGGGAACTCTTTCTTATTTGGGACAATTTGTCCAATAAATGTGTTTGTTAAATCATGTGAGAAGTTCTCCTCACAACCGCATGCAAAATTTCATCTCGCTTATACCAGTATCTGATGTTGAATATGATTTTGTCAGTGCTTGACTTAAACTATGAAATATTGTAGCCTATTTAGGGAAAATGATATGTTGAATGTAATCTATATATTCAGTTTCATATAATGAATGGTATATTTAAGCAGTATAATACAACAGTCCGGCTGAATTGAAAATCTTTATGGCAGTAATTTTGTCCATAGGCACAGAGTATATTATTTTGTATTTAATTTATTTTTATTTTATTTTTGTTTTTTTAAGCCAAAGCATCAAGCTTTTCAGGATTTGAAATATCAAAACATTGTGTCTCAAACATTAAATCTCCACACAGCCTCCTACAGTCCATTTGGAAAGCAGTCAATAAGCATGTCAGTCGGTGAAATGCAGAGCCGTACATCTCATTTGTGTGTTGTTTTACTGCTTATAAACAATGTGCTGAGTCTCAGTACACTGGAACGATCCAGATCTTTATGTTGAAACGCAGCTACCAGACTGTAGCTCTGCTGCATTATAAGAGTAGATATTGTGCATAGGTCTTGCTGACACCATTTGTGTTAGTAACTATAACATGGTTGGTTGCACAGTGCTGTGGCATTTTTGTTGCTGTAATGAGAGTTGTTAGCTAGCTCAACCTAACATGTTAAAGATGCTGGTGCTGTTGACATCTTTGTATAATCTAGGTATTCATATCTATGGCTTTAGCTGGTTGTTTATCTCACATATGCATTTAAAGTCAACATGAATTGCCATTTGCAACCCATTTTACTTTCATAATGTGACATATTTCCAAGTAAAATTTAAATAGCCAAGTAAAAATTAAAATCAGGAAAAAAAATAAACAAGGAATTGGTTTGATTTTAAAATTTGACACATTTTGTGAAATGCCTTAAAAGGTTGATGAATACCTAAAACCAATAGCTATCTATTTGGCTATTGGCTAATGTTATCCAATCCGCTTGTTAAGTAATGACGAATACTGTTTCCGGGTCCAAGCCTCTTTTTCCACTGAGAATATGATATCAACAGCCTTTTATGAGAACCATGAAGTCGTACTTAACAAGTGGATACACGTGGCCGAAGTGACATCACCAGAAAAGGAAAGTTGTTTCGTGTAATATTTTGATTAGATATTAGGAACTAATTTTTTTCTGTAAAGTAACCTGCACTGATGAATGATTCACAGTAAGACCAGGAATGTTCATTAGGAAAATAAATGAATTAAAAACCTTCTGTGTGTAGTGTCACCGCCATGCACACTGGTATGATGTTTACAGTCGTTTAGAGGAATAAGTCGTCCCTGTTTTGTAAAGATATGTGTTGTTTTACGCCCGGGGACGGGGGGTTTATGTGTTTTTGTCCCCCGCCAGCCTCCACCCTGCATGGGGGTGACGGCAGCGATTCTCCCCTCTACTGGTCCTGTTGGAAGCGTGAGGGTGACCATGACGTATACCTGTCCCTGCCTGTCTACCTCTGCCGGCGGGCAGGAGGCATGCGCACAGGTAAACGTTGAGGCCGGGCTTGTCGCCAAAGCTGCGTCCTTCATCTGCTGCCGTGTGCTCTATAGCCTCATGTTTCTCACCCTCAGCAAAGCATGCCTTTAGTGCACCACCTGAGCGTGGGACTAATGCGCCCCCCTTGCTGCTTCTCCTCTACTCTTTCACTCTCACTCACATTCTCAATTGCAAAACTGCATGTTTCGGGCATTAAAGCTTTCATAAGCGTGCAGCACGTTGGCACATTATTAACAGGTGTTTAAACGCTAGAAGACTCCCTGTGGAATTGAGGCGATCTTAGCCTTCGCTGCTGGAAATGCCCTATCATGCCAAAGCAGATGCTAGCATATGTTTTGTATAAGATACTCCAGGCAACAGTTGCTCCACAAGCAGCTGTGAGATTAGAGAACAAGGACTGAATCCAGGCCACCTCATCACATGCTGAAAGCCTGTGGGTTGCTTAGATTTAGAGCTGAAATTCATGCGTTTGATTCGTAGAGAGGCAGCTAGGCTAACCCAAAACATGCTTAAAACGTGCAGTTAGCATGTTTAGTTTAGTTTATGCTTTCTCACAAAAAGAATGTTTGGCTGCTGTACTTCATTATACTTACACCATATCTTTGGCAGTTATGTGAAGAGGAAATCATCTGTAAGTCATGTGACATGGGCTTCTGAATACTTTGATTTAACAGTCACATGGCTTTTTGTCAATGAACTTGCTTGCTTGGAATATGTTCTAAAAGAAGAAATTGGTCATTGGTGATGTTATTGGCAAGTCGGGATAAGAGCCATTTGATTCTACTAATATGATATCACTAATCTGAAATATGAAAACTTTTAAACGCTGTGTTCATCTAAAATGAAATTTCCGTCATTTCCTCACTCCTTCATGTCATTCCAAACCTGTACTGAATGCTTTTTACCATACAGTTACATTGAGTTTTCAAACTTCAAAAAGGATACAAGAACACTTCATAAATGTAGTCCATATGACTTCTAAAAGCATACAATAACTTTATATAACAGACGGAAAGCCATTTTCACTGATAATCTTTTGTGCAGTGTTATTTCAGTATGATTTATATATTATAATGTTTATTATTATTTTGAATGATCTTTTATTTTTATATTTTAAGTTTAAATTTTATAGTAATTATGTGCTTGTCGTCATTTTTTATATTTTTTATTATGTCTGTTTAGCTTTAATTTATAACTGATTCTGTTAGTTGCCGAGGCAACATTTTAAAATTGCATTTAAGTTTAAACTTTTCATTTAATATTTATATTTGTTTTATTTCAGCTTTATTTCAGCTTTGTAAGGAAAATGAATTTTAATAGTTTAGTTTCAGCTAAAAATAACAATACTGCTCCTGGGAGCTGAATTAATGAGTCAGGGAGTTGAACTTGAGAACAAATTATTTTGACTGGTTTTGTGATCTCATTTCATTGACAAGATTCATTTGTCCTCCTTTCGTCTTCCATGGAAGAAAGGCATACAGTTTTGGAATGGAATGAGGACGAGTAAATGATGGCAGAATTGTAGTTTTTAGGTGAACTGTTCCTTTAAAGGGGTCATATGATGCGATTTCAATTTTTCCTTTCTCTTTGGAGTGTTACAAGCTCTTGGTGCATAAAAAAGATCTGTGAATTTGCAAAGACTAAAGTCTCAAATCCAAAGAGATATTCTTTATAAAAGTTAAGAGTCAACCACACCTACCTAAAACGGCTCGTTCTAACACGCCCCCAACATGTCAACGTCACGATGTGGGAAGATTTGCATAACGCCGCCCAAATGTTCAC